AAGGCGGGGTCGCAGCCCCGCGGGCCCCCCACCGCCGGGGACGGGCCACTTCCTGTGGGGTTAGTGCCTTGGTTTCCCCGGGAAACTCACGTAGCGACCTTCTTTTCCGCCCGTTGAACAGGCTCGTTTCTGGCGCCGGAGACATCAAGCTTACAAAAGATGGCAACGTGCTGCTTCACGAAATGGTGAGAGGCTGGCGTGCTGCGGCAGAAAGGGCTTAATTTCCTAATTTCTTGTAGTTCGCTTGGCTTATGGAAAGATTTCTAATGCTCCTCCGGGTAGGAAAAAGTGGGACTCGCTGATTGCTCAACAAGTCAGCTGAGACAGTGGAAGGAATAGGAACGTTACTTGGTCGGTAAGGACGTCGTAGAATACAGTGAGGGGCCTGGAGGGTGACAGACGCTGCTCTGAGCCCGGCCCTTTTGCTCTTTGCAGTCTGGGTTGAAGTGTTAACCCGCCCCAGGTTTAGGGACAAAAGCCCTGGCTGTTCCAACAGGCCAGGCTCAGGGCTGCCCCAGAAAGATGACCAGAAAAGAGCCAATGAAAGGATCACTATTACTAAAATTAACTGTAGCCCCAGCAATTACCCCAGCTAGTTACAGATGGGGTTTTTTTGGGAGGGGGACGTGTCCTTTTTTGCAAAGCAGTTCCTGGGTCTGACTTTGTAGCTCAGTGGTGGAGTGCTCGCCTAGCATGTGAAGGTCCCGCATCCCATCCCATCGCCAAAAAAAAAAAGAAAGAAAGAAAAACGGCAATTCTTACATGTCATCTGTCTTCTGTCACCTGCAGGGGAAATAAGGCTCCTTAAAGTCCTAAGATTCAAGAATAAATAGTTGGCCAGGGATGTAGCTCAGCGGCACAAATGCCTGCCTGGCAAGCATAAGGTCATGAGTTTGATTCCCGGTACAAAAAAAAAAGTTTTAGAGAACAAGGTTTTAGAGAGGAGTATATATTTTACTCATGTCTGAACTCCCAGAACCTAGCAGTTGGCATCCAAAAGAGGAATGATTTACTTCTGACTTAAGTTGAGAATAAAATTTAGGGTTTTGATAGTGATATATGATAACATCAATATCCAGATGTTTTTAAATGTCTAAAGACTAGCTGACATAAGAGGTGTAAGATTTATTTACTGGGACAGCATTTGTTGTGTAGCCTAGGCTGGCCTCACCCTTCCTAGTGCTGGTCTGTTTTTTTTTTTTTTTTTTTTTTAAACAGGGTTTTCCTATGCAGTACAGACTGGCCTCAGACTTGCAATGATCCTCCTGCCTCAGCCTCCCAAGTGCTAGGATTACAGGCATACACCACCACACCTGGCCTGTTCTGGTTTTTTGAGACGGGTTCTCATTCTGTAATTCAGGCTGGCCTTGAACTCTTGACAATCCTGCCTCACCTTCCCAAGTACTGGTATTATAGACATTTGCCACCTTATCTGCTTTCCTTTCTTTGTTTTTTTGTCTTTTTGAGACAAGAGTCTCGCTATGCAGTTCAGGCTGGTCTTGAGCTCACTTTGTAGCCCAGGCTAGTCTTGAACACACAAGGATCCTCCTACCTCAACCTCCAGAGTGCTGGGATTACAGGCCTGCGCCACCGCGCCTGGCCTTCCTTTCAATTATTTGGTCAGTGCCAAGCTATTCTGAAGGCCACTGGGCTTTGATTTTAGAAGATACTTGACTTATTCTCACAACTACTAAACTTGTCATACTTTTGTTAGTCAGCTTTTGTGAACTTTAGAGGCTCAGATTTCCTGATCAGTAAAGTCAAGTAATCTGAGAAGTAAATTTGTACAAGAACTCTTGGTCATCATGAACAGGTGTGCAAAATAGTTAATTATGATTTTTAAATTTTTTTAATTTTTTTTATTTTTTTGGGTTTTTCTCCGGTACCGGGAAACGAACTCACGACCTTGCGCTTGCCAAGCAGGCACTTTTGCCGCTGAGCTAAATCCCCTGCCCAATTATGATTTTTTTAAATCACAGTAATAGAGGTGGAATAGTAGATAGTATTTAAAGAGCCTCTTCACAGATTTCAAGATACATTTTAAATTTTGTTTTGTTTTGTTTTTTGAGGCAGTGCTTCATTACATAGTTCAGGCTGGTCTTGCCCTCAAACTCACCTCAGTCCTCCTGCCTCAGCATCCTGAGTGCACAGATCACAAATGTGTACCACCACGCCCAGCTTCAAAATACATTTTACTGAAGTCACACTGATTTTTGAGCTAGGGTCTGTATGGTCATATATAGACTAGATAGGGTCACCATATAGTCAGGCCAACCTTGAGCTTATTGCGTAGTCCAGGGTGGCCTGGAACTCATGATTCTCTTGGTCCCCGAGTGCTGGAATTGCGGGCGGCACCATCATGTCCAGCTATTTAAGTAATTCTTTTTCCTTTTCAGCAAATTCAACACCCTACAGCCTCTTTAATAGCAAAAGTAGCAACAGCCCAGGATGATATAACTGGTGATGGTACTACTTCCAATGTCCTGATCATTGGAGAGCTGCTGAAACAGGCAGATCTCTACATTTCTGAGGTATGCATCGTCCTCCTGCTTGTGTACTATTGTGTATAGAAAGTGGCTGCTGTTTGTGTATAGTCATATGTTAATTGTAGCCGAGGCCGCACAGTGGAATGTAAAGATGCGGGGATTTTAATCTAGGAACCTGTTTCTATCCTAACCTGACACAAATTTTTTGTGATTATGAAGTTCTTTTTCATATAATTAATTCAGGTCTAGAGATCACAGCTAGGCATATGTATAGGGAAAAGGTCAACTAAACATTTAAATAAGAATTCTGCCCCTTTTTTAGCCTGGAATAGTTCTGAATTTAAAGCAAACTGCAGTATTAGTCCACTGTCAGAATTTCCTGGAAAGAAGAGAAAGCAGTTTTAGTCTCTTGTTTGTTTTATTTTTGTTGCTAAATAATGTGAATTTCAGATTACCTATAAAAAAGATAAAGTATTCCTATGGACTCCGAATATGTGTGACCGCAGCTGGGGTTTTGGCGTACTCTGGCGGTTTGCACAGTGAACATCCAAGTGTGCTCTGTAGTTCCCTTGGCTTTGACTCTGTGCTAGAGTAATATCTGTTCTTTCCCTCTGCATTGAAAGGACTATTTTTTTCCTTTTAAATGTATTCAGAAAGGCAGCACATATTATCGAAACTGTATCAAAAGTTGTGAATGATCCAGAATATCCTTTGAAAAATTATCTGAACTGTATTTGCAGCTACTTAAAGGGGCAGGTTCTAGGAATGATTGTGTAATTGTGTGTTGATTACAGGGTCTTCATCCCAGAATAATCACCGAAGGTTTTGAAACTGCAAAGGAAAAGGCCCTGCAGTTTCTGGAACAAGTCAAAGTAAGCAGAGAGATGGACAGGGAAATACTTATGGATGTGGCCAGAACATCTCTGCGTACTAAAGTTCATGCTGAGCTTGCGGATGTCCTAACAGAGGTATGTGTTAAATCTGATGCGTGTCAGATAAAATCTGGGAAATGGTGCGTTGTGTCAGTGTATGCGTAGTGTATAACGTGTACTGGTCAAATCCCGGGTGATTAGCATTCATATTTCCTTAAACATTTATATTATTGCTTTGTGTTGGGAACCTTAATGCTCCTCTTCTACTTGTTTACAAAAGAAAATTTAAATATAGTTATCAGTATTTTTAATTAAATAGTGGGAGGACATTTATTGGGGGGAATGTGTTTTTAAAAATACAAATTACAAAGTCTTTAATTTCTAGTATATTCTGTTTACTCATAGAAGAAAGATCCGCCAGGCGTGGTGGCGCACGCCTGTAATCACAGCGCTCAGGAGACTGAGGCAGGAGGGTTGTTGCAAGTTCGAGACCAGCCTGGGCTACAAAGTGAGCTCAAGGCCAGCCTGAACTGCATAGCGCTACTCTGTCTCAAAAAGACAAAAAAAAAAAAAAGAAAGAAAAGGAAAAATCCATTCAGAGATTGTAAAGTGAAGAGACTATGTTTAAACTTGTGCGGAATATGTATTTCAACTTCTGCAAAAGAAATTTGTTATACTCCTGTTGTAGGCTGTGGTGGATTCCATTTTGGCCATTAGAAGGAAAGATGAACCTATTGACCTGTTCATGGTTGAGATCATGGAGATGAAGCATAAATCAGAAACTGATACAAGGTAGGTAAAGAGTGTTATGAAAACCTTTTTTTTTATTTAAATTTTATTTAATTCTGTGGTTTTTTTTTTTTTTTTTTTGGTTTTTCTCCGGTACCGGGAACTGAACTCACGACCTTGCGCTTGCCAGGCAGGCGCTTTTGCCGCTGAGCTAAATCCCCAGCCCTATTCTGTGTATTGAACCCAGGGCTTTTATATGCTGAGCAGAGACTACCAGTGGACTACACCCCAACACTGAAATATGTAGTACATTGTTTTTGTTTTTGTCTTTTTTGAGACAAGCTCTCACTGTCACCAGCCTGAACAACACAGCGATCCTCGTACCTCAGCCTGGAGTGCCGGGACTATAGCCATGCACCACCACCCCCGGCTCTCTGTAGTACATGTTTTTAGCAGATCTCTTCTAGTGAACATATATTTACGTTTGATAAGTTGTAGGTATCACATGTATTCTTAGAAATAATTCCTTTTGAGATGAGGGAGATGACATGTTTATGGTTAGAATATGAACAACGTTGGTGATTTCAAGGGAGACTGTTGGGGAATTAAAAAAAATTTTTTTTTTTTTTTTTTTGGATGTATAGTGTGGCTCACACCTGAAATCCCAGCACATGGGAGGCAGAGGCAGAAGGATGGTCTTCATTTTTTGTTTGTTTGTTTTTGTTTTTCTTCCGGTATCAGGAATTGAACTGATGACCTTGTGCTTGCCAGGCAGGTGCTTTGCCACTGAGCTAAATCCCCAGCCCCAGTTTTCTTCGTTTTTGTTTTAGGATTGACTTCAGTTCTGGACTACATAGTGAGACCCTGTCTCGATAAAAAAGAAGTAGAAGAACAAATTTTTTCAGAAACCTAATTTGAAAACTTTTCTTTCCTGGTGCACTCCTAGGGGTTGAATCCAATCCAAGCCCTTTGCATTAAGCTACATCCTTGGCCCGGTTTTTTTTTATTATTATTTTTTGAGATAGGGTCTTACTAAGTCGTCCAGGCGTCAGTCCTCCTGCCTCAGCCTCCTCCTCTTTACAGGTGTGAGTTACCATGCCCAGATGGAAACCTTTTTTCAGAGAAAGTAATAGCCACAATTTGATAGCTTACAGCTGAGACTGTCTCTACAGGGCTTTTTTGGCTTTTTGCTTGTTTTTTGTTTTTAGTACTGGGGATTGAACCCAAGGCCCTTATGGTAAGCTGTATCCCCAGACATTAGCCTCCCAGAATTCTTTATTCTCTGAGAATTTTCTTTGAAAGATAGAGCTGGCGTTTGTGTGAATAGCCCATCTTTGTTCTGGAATATTTCTTTCTTTTTTTTTTTTGTTTCTGTTTTTGTTTTTCTTCTGGTACCAGGAATCAAACTCATGACCTTGCGCTTGCCAGGCAGGTGCTGTGCCACTGAGCTAAATCCTCAGCCCTTGCAATATTTCTTTCTCACAATTGACCTTGTAGGTGTCTCTGAAAAGTCTTGTTAAGTAAATCAAAAAGTAAAATGTGTGAAATTTCTCAGTGTGAAAATTATCACAACAGTCTCAGTTCAATGTTTAAGTTCTGTTAGTATATGTTCCAGTCCCATCTGGAAGCCAGTAACTGTAACTTTTGTTGTTTTAACAGCTTAATCAGAGGACTTGTTTTGGACCATGGGGCACGGCACCCTGATATGAAAAAAAGAGTAGAAAATGCATACATTCTCACATGCAACGTCTCCTTGGAATACGAGAAAACGTACGTACATTTACGGCCCTTCAAGTTGGAGTAGAGGGACGGAGGGAGAAATTCGGGTTTTTCAGAGCAAATCCATTCTATTAGAGGCTCATTGTCCCACTGTGAGGACCGTGTGGCTTTGGCATGGTTTAGGATAAAGCAGGCGCCTCCGCAGGTGCACGAGGGCGGAATTGGACTCCAGACTTACTCAGTCGTAAGGCTGTCCAGTTTTGCAGCCTGGTGTTTTTTACTTAAAAAAATAAAAACAACTTTCCCCCTTTCTGTAATATTTTCTTTATAGAGAAGTGAATTCTGGCTTTTTCTACAAGAGTGCAGAAGAAAGAGAAAAGCTAGTAAAAGCTGAAAGAAAATTCATTGAAGATAGAATTAAAAAAATAGTAGAACTGAAAAAGAAGGTCTGTGGTGATTCAGATAGAGGATTTGTTGTTATTAATCAAAAGGTGAGTGAAAATTAAATTCGCCAGTGAAATTGTCTGCTGCATTTTTTTTTGTAAGGTGAAAGATACTGAAACTCGTTTTTCTCTTTGTTGTAGGGAATTGACCCCCTCTCCTTAGACGCTCTTGCAAAAGAAGGCATCGTAGCTCTGCGTAGAGCAAAAAGGAGAAACATGGAGAGGTACGGACCGGTCCCTGAGTAACTTTGCAAGTGAATTAAGAGTCTTTTCCCCTTCTACTTAATTTTGCACTTTTATTGTGACATAATGTAGATAATAAAAATTACCATTTTAACTTCCTTTTTTTTTGTTTTGATACTGGGCTCTATGGACCTGATGCATGCTGGACAAGAGCTGCATAATTCTGTGGTCACTGAAACAGATTTGATTTCTTTCTTATTATTTTTGGTGTTTTTGAGGCAGGGTCTCGCTGTGTGGTGCAGACTGGCCTCAAATTCATGGGATCCTCCTGCCTCAGCCTCCCAAGTGTTGGGATTACAGGGTTGCACCACCACAACTGGTGGGAAGGGTGGTTTAAACAGAAAAGACTAGTTTTCTTCTGGTTGGTGGTGAACAGAAAGATACAGGTTGAGACACAGTTTAGAATGTAATTTCATATATCGTTCTGGAAAATTTCTTTAATATTATTAGTCCTCTGAACGTAATCAGTAATGTTGCCTGTGTGACTCCCTTAAAAACGCTTTTCACTGTTTTAGGCTGACTCTGGCTTGTGGTGGGGTGGCTCTCAATTCCTTAGATGACCTGAATCCTGACTGTCTGGGACATGCAGGACTGGTTTATGAGTATACTTTGGTAAGTGTGTTTCCATCAGAAACTAACTGTACTATTCCGTTCATGAGTTCTTTGGTAGAAAAATTCAAACTCAAGATCACATTTTTGTTTGTTATTTAAATTTGATGATTTACATGTAAAGGTAGAAATCCATTGACAGGAGAAAATCCTGTTTCTTTTTTGGGTTTTTTGAGACTGCCTTGGTGGGTATTTCAGGCTGGCCTTGAACTCACTGTGATCTTCTTACCTCAGCCTCTAAGTGCAGGTTTATAGGGCTGCGCCACCACGCCCAGCTCTCATTTCTTTTATGTGTGAATGTTCTGCTAAAATTTTCTTCAGTTTGATCACCGTCGTATCCTGTGAATGTGCTGCTTTTCTCTGCATGCACCCGTGCCGTGCTCATCGGCGCAGCGATGTGCTGTTGGTGACATGTAACCTTTCACGTGTAGGGGGAAGAGAAGTTCACCTTTATTGAGAAGTGTAACAATCCGCGCTCTGTCACGTTGTTGGTGAAAGGACCAAATAAACACACGCTCACTCAGATCAAGGACGCAATAAGAGACGGCTTGAGGGCTGTCAAGAACGCCATCGATGATGGTAAGAGCTTCTCTGTTTCCGCTGTACTCCCCGCGTAGTCCAAGAAGCATGGCCGAATACTGTGTTCCTTCATCAGTAGCTTACACAGCCAGACACCATGCAAAAGTAAAGCGTTCCTTTTAAAATGACCGATGATATGCTGTTTGTTCACAGTATATCATTATTAAAAGCGATTACAAATAAGTGGACCTAATACTCATTAGCTCCCAACAGCTGCCAAGTGCTAAATTGAGCCATTTGGCTGTTTGATTATTGCGTATCTTGTGGCTTTCAAACGCAGTTCGCGTGGTTTTTCCTTTGTGGTTGGTCATAGAGTTTCTTCTCTTCGGCCCAGCATTTCTGTCTTCTGTGTGAACAGGCTGCGTGGTTCCAGGCGCTGGGGCAGTAGAAGTGGCGATGGCCGGAGCGCTGATGAAGCACAAGGCCAGCGTCAAGGGTCGGGCCCAGCTCGGAGTCCAAGCGTTTGCCGATGCCTTGCTCATTATTCCCAAGGTGCGAACATGTGTTGAACAGTTCTCTAAATTGCACCAGAACAGTTCAGCTGGTTGAACCTTCTGATAACATGAAAATGTTTGGATAAGCAAGTTTGATTGGTTTTCTCAGGAGTCTAGAGTATCCCTATATTGTGTTTTGTTTTGTTTTGTTTTGTTTTGTACCAGGAATTG